ATGCTGGTAGTGAGTAAAACAGCAACAAATCGCCCCACCACAACATGGTGTCATAAGACAGAATGGCAACAAGTTCACTTTCTTGCTATCTGCCACAGTATCACAAGTTTATAAAATCAAAGTTACAGCCTTTGTGCACAAAACTCCCCAATTACAAACTGCAGTCCATCAGACACTCATTTTCTTCTACAGTTAGCAATATGTTCACATTAACACATTAATTTCATGCAACACTTCATTAAACAACATTTCTGTATCATCAGTGATGCCTATTTCATAAAATAAACAAGCATTCCATTCCTCATCACCAATGATATCTCGTTTTTATATCTGCTACTGCCACAATACTGACTTGGTCCAGGTGGTATATTTATCAGTGTCTTAGGATTTGTGTCAGAGAAAAACTGGCATTCCAACAGCTAAACCTTCATACTACTAATATGTGACTCAGTGAAGCATAGGTGATACATAAGGTATAAAATTTAAGTAAACAGACTGAGTATGTAATATACATGGTGAGTCATAAGTATGTTTACAAACTTTGTGTGCGTGTTTCAGGATCAAAAATAAGAAACTATGTTCCTATGAACACGGGGTCGCAAATGTTTAATTTTCGAAATAATAGCCAAAAATAAGTTTCAACGAATTGACTTTATATCAAAGTGAATTCAGCTTCCAGCAAATATTTTCAATTAACGTTTGGGTAGGAATTGTTGGCGACATGCTTACTGGTCCGCACACATAATTTCTCAATGTGACAAGACCTAGCACCAAAAGCATGTGGTGTTCACAAATTATGTGTTTCACAGATCTGTATATATACAAACAAATCTAGCACTCAGGGAGATCCAGTTTTTGTCACCCAGATGTCCCTGCACCAAATTGAGGAATCTGGTACCAAGCTCTCAGTGTTTTACTTACATAAAATCTGAGTAAACCAGAATCACACATTAAAACACACATCAAGATTCAAAAAGTAACGATACGCTCAAGGTTCCTGTAAGGACAGGAAGCCAACTTACTGCATGCCAAGTATGTTCCACTCTTAAAGGTTCCATACCACAGAACAAGTGGAATGAAATCAACAACAGAGATAATACAATAAAACTGGCTGACACTTAAAGACTGGTTTTTGAAAAGACTTACAAATTACATGAAGAGAATAGTATAATAATCATCGACGATGCAAGTTACCAATCAGTAAGTTTTGAGTGAAGTGCTGAACACTTCTTTAAAATTACAAGGTATCACTGATTGGTTGGGAACAGAAAAAAATTATTAAAGAAAAAAGAAACAAGTGTAAAGATTTTGAAACATGTGCTTCCATTCAGACATGACAGAAAAACAAATGCAGTGGATCAACTGGTTAGCAAAAGGGGACAAGTCATTTCATTGCCACCTACAGAAATGATGTGGTCTCAAGTGAAACAGGACAGGGTGGCAGAATGAGACAGGGGTTCCCTTATAAGAATGCAAAAAATTTGCAATAGGATGATTATGCAACAGAAAAAAGACAAGATAAAATTATAGACAAGGCATACAGTGAAACAGGTGATGAGGTAAGTGATGAAAACAACATTACTTAAACTGGGGGCAGATATGAAGATAATGACAATGCCCTCTCCCCTTCATTACCTGTTTCCAAACTTGTGTGTCACACACACATACACGCATGCACACACCATTATTCTGCTAGATTTATGCAGATTTCTGACTATGTTCCCCACACATTTATATAAGTGTACAGTGATAGCTAGCAATGTCACAGTGACATGTCAGAAGCTGTGAATCTGAAAATAGCCTACCCCATACATGCATGTATGAGTTACACATCAACTCATCTTACCTATGATAATCATTAACACAATAGATTTTGTTGTCAACATCGACTGTGAAGGGAACACCATCTAAACATTCATTGCACACACAGCAACGGAAACAACCTGGGTGATAGGACTTCCCCATCGCTTGTAGGATCTGTTGAACATTCAGAAAATATGATTACATAAAACAGATAATTCTTCAAACATTTAACGCTTTATGCCAGAAATTTAAAATCCCAAAAGTCTATAGCTCTGCATTTTAGAAGTGATAAATATTTCTCATAATCTCACTGTGCCAATCTCATATCTTGATGTCAATAAACACTACTGAACACAAATTATATTACTATTTCTGTTGTGACTATCATAATTTAATTAAAACAAATTTCCCTCAATATCACAAACTGAAGAGCACAATTCTCTCCAACTAAAATTCAGAGATCAAATGTCACGGTGCTATGATCAGTGCACTTTCACATTCAAGAGGTCCTGTTTGAATTCCAGGAGACCAATTATATTAAATGAGATCTGTCTTCCGGGTTGTTTTGCCATATAGTCTTGTAGATGGTTACCAATATTTTTGGAGCAATATATTTCTTCCATTTCCAGGATTTCTGCAGATGGAGATGATATGTTCCTCCAAAATGTTGGTAACCACCTACATGACCTTACAGTGTCAACCCAGAAGACCACAAGTGACATCTTGACATTTTAGGGTGGTCTCCTCTATGTGTTTTATTAACATCTTAACTAAATTATAAATTCAGTATTTTTGATGTTTTTTATAAAAATAATTACTTTCTACAATGGACATGTTAATTTAGAAGAAATACTGGTCTGCAGTTCTGGAATAAAAAGAAAACCACCACATACACAGCCTGTACTATATTTACTTCCTCATTCAGTGCTAAATAATCTCATCAGTTGACAAAGAACCATAAACCAAATAAACTTCTAAAAACCCAGGACAAATGGAGGTGGCAGGAACAAGAATATAAGACTGTAAATAATGAACATATGACATCACCTCACAAGGGGGTTTGGCTAGGAAGTTTCTGGCTTCAGAATACTAGCAACAGTTTTCCCCCAATGTTCAATTAAACAATGAAGCTAATAATGCAGTCTAGGCTAAAATCATAGCAGGGTAGTTGTACAAAAGTCATTGCTGCACCTAATGACTCATGTTTTGGTCTTACTGGCCTTCCTGCTTTCTGTCAACATTGACATTTCTGTTATGGGAGCACATATCCAATATATGTGATAGTGGGAACATGACCAACAGCTTGAAGTACCTAGAACAACAACAGGGAGTGGTATGCCTCACATTCTAAGATACAAGGAGAGGGGAGATTGAAATTGTATCACTACACATCATGGAGGCACTGGGGTGGTGGTGGTGGTAGTATAGCTCCTACTTGTTCTTGACCTCAACACTAGATGGGGCGACTGGTCTGTGTCTTGTCCTGGCCATGCTTTACCACCGGGGCTCATTAGACAGAAGGCTGGGTGGGCCCCAGAGCCATTCTGGATGTAGATGCTAGAGGAAAAAATGTTTGTTCCTGCAGAGGATCAAACCCTGGTCTCACCCAGTCCATAGTCAGACACTATACTGACTGAGCTACTCTGCCTTGCTAACCAAAATTAACCTTCCCCACAAGAAAGATAAAGGCATGTGGAGAAGTCAACATTGGATACAGATGGCCTTAAACCTAAAAAGCTTTCCTTAAACTACATCAGTAAATTTCAATCTTACTGTAAACCAGTCATTTTTCTGGCTGAACTATTATAACTGCCAAATATCAGTATAAAAAAAACAAATTAAGGAGTTCTAAAAGGAAATGCATGATTCATACAGCATTCAAGAGCTGTTCTAAGATCTCAATAATTACAGCAATTCAACAGCAAAGGAGAACATGACCTCATTCATTCAATATAGTATTCCAGGCATCAATCGAGACATTGTGTTAAACAAATACTCACCATTTCCATTATAAGATGGCCACAGATTGCACACTTCTCCGCAGTCTGCTGGAATCCTGAATACTGCAACACAAAATGCTACATATGTACAAAACAACTTCATACAAAGTTACAGAAACATTAAATGTCAGATCAAATGCCTAGGCTACCAAACCAGACTGGGTTTCAGATGCAACACAGAAGTTGTAAACAATGGCTAAGTCACAAACAGAAGCCAGATACTAGCACATAAATTGTAAATTGGTAGCCTGACATCAAACAGTAATTGGTTACCAGAACAGCCTAAAAGTGCATGTGCTAGTCAGTTCAATAGATAATTCTGATAATACCAGTATTCCCATGGAGAGGATCAAAAAATCTAACTGGTAAATTTTTATGATTTCATGTAAGCAGACTTCATTTTATAATCATTTATAATATTCAATTCAAGTAAGGTATTGCATCACATGCTTGAATAAAACACCAAAGTTGAGATAATAGCCTAGATTGAGAAAAAAACTTCAATTTATATTTCAGCAGTTCTAGATCATTTAATTAACATACTACATGCCTGACAAACACTTTCATAAAACATGAACTTAGGAACAGACTCCCCAACCCAAATATCTTTGCCAGTGAACTGATTGTTCTGCTACAGCAGCCATGATGTAATGTGGATGGTGGTTACATGCAGGTTTTCATTTAAGAGATGAGGTACACATGCAAACTAATTAATTTTCAACACTCTCCTGTTTCTGATACTGGGCACAGTATTTCTGTGAAATGGCCTGGAAATTCTCGTTTAGGTCAGTCATACTTGGGTTGGTGCCAAATTAATTCTAAAACAACAACAACTACCATTACAAAATTTCTGGAATGAGCTTCCAGGTTCATGGTATAAGTGATTGTTTTTCATTTATTTTTTTTTTGTTTTTTTTTACCAGGTAATCTTCCTCACAGTAGACACGTCCATGGACATTGTAGAATGCCTTTCCACGCAGCGCTCGCCCACACGAGCAGCAGATGAAACAGTTTGTGTGGTACAGGTTACCCATAGCTTGGCAAGCCTGCCCCGCTCCTGTCACCTTTTCCCCACACGTGTGGCAGATACCTGCAAAGAAAAGAACCTGTTAACACAATTTCTCTTCAAATACAGGCAACTAACAAGTTCAACCAAGTACCATTAAACTTTTAATTTGAAGCCTGTGCGAATGATGACACGATGAAATAAACTATTTTATGCAGTTTTTGTACCAAGTACATGAAATCAACGCACAAGAAGGAAGTCAAGTTCATATGCATGTTTTTTGTCCAAAATTAATTAGTGGATTTAGATAACTTGTTAATCGAGAGATTTTCTAACTGTAATTTGTTGGATTACATTAGTCTAATATAATTATAAATGAATCTCCATGGTATACTATTATCATTACATTTATAAACATATGTTTGATGCATAATACAATCAAAAATCACATACGGATCTATGCAGTGATACACATAAAATGTTTGTGTGTTGTGTAAAGAACATATTTCATCTACAATAAATATCAAAGCCAATAAGATATGAGAAATCATAAAGACAAAGGAACAACATGTACAAAACCAATCCTTAAATGACGAAAGCCAAACCACAAACATTGCAAAGAGGCAAACCACAGCATATGATACTGAACACAGTTATACTTAAGGGAATAGAGCACTCTGAAGATCTTGTTATAGATAGAAGATAATATA